GGGTGCCCCGTGATCTGCTTGCTCCTGTGCCTCAAAACCTTTCCTTCCTTGTATGTGCAGAGCGTGGAGCTGCTCCCTCGTCCCCGAGGCTGGTCCTTCTGCAGAGTGCCTGTGCATCCTTGGCAGCGCCACCCGTCCTGGCTCGCTTAATTTTAGCTGCTTTTCCTCCTCCTTAAACACAGCCAACGCACCAGGGAATTTCCCCCAAGCATTAGGGAAGGAGAAAACAAACTCTGATGTTGGCAAGTGGCTGTAACGCCTGTGTTGTCACAGGCCTGTCGGAGTCAGACCCGGAGTTAAAAGAACAACAACAGAAATCCTGGCCAGTTTATTCTAAGACATTGCTTGATTTCCTGCTGTTAATATGTAAATACGCAGGTGTTTGAGCTCCTTTGTGCCCAACTTTGAATTCTTGCTTGTGGCCCTAACAAACACATGGGGCTGTTACCATCGGTGTGTTTTTTTTCCCCTATGACTGTGCTTAGCTTCGTAATACTGAGCAGTTTTTTGCAGTTGCCGAGGTCTTTCATGGATTTTAGGGGACTCTGATTCACCTTCCTGCTCAAGGTGCTAATTAAAACCACGGTAACTCAGATCAGGTGTGTCTATTGGCATAGACTGAATGCTTAAAGTTAGGATCGCGTTCACCCTCTACCCCATGTGCCCCAAAAAAGATTCATCAAGCAGATGGGAAGGGTATTTTGGGGAGCGGGGACTCCCCTGCTACTGGAATAGCTGGACTATGCCCTGTCTTGTAAGTTGGTGTATTTCCTTTCTCAGAGGGGAGTTGTGGAAGGTAACAAGGATGTTGTCGTGATAGGGCTTGAAATCGTGGTCTAAAATGTACAAAACTTTTGCAGACCCTCCGAAAGGGAGTTTTGTAGCTGGGCAGAAGTGCCTGCATTGCTCGAGCTGCAGGACAGGGTGTTGGTTATGGCTGTGAGGACTGGTGGGTACCTTCTCAGCTGCGTTTGCCTCTGTGCCAGGCTCCTCTGCCACGCTGGAAGCCGTAGATCCTGCGGAGGACTGCCTGGCAGCTCCCTAAGGAGAAGGGCTTGTCCTGGTTAGGAGTGAAAAAACCCACCTCTCCCCTTTATATCTCTTGTAGAATATTGAAGATAATGGCACAGTTTCCAAAGTAAATAAATTCTTGTGAGAAGCTAAGGAGCCGCCTCTGAGCAAACCTACCAATCGTGCTGGTGTGAGTGGTCCAGCTGGCTGCTAGCAGGCGCTTCCTCCGGCTGGACATGGGGTCTCATGGGCTGGCGCGGTTGGTAAGTTTTCTCTTCCTACAGCTCCATCGCTCGGGTCCTGTGGACTTCTTTTCCATGCGCCGTGAGCTCACAGCGGGCTCTGAGAGCTCCTCGAAGCGCCGTCAGGCAGACGTCAGGGTATCTGGACAGTTGGTCGGGACACAGGGTGCTTGGTCTATGTGTCCTGGGCCAGGAATGAGTCCTGGCTTGTTTGAGGGACATAATAAAGGAAACAGTTCTCGAGCCAGAAATCGCTGAGTTTTTGATTGCTTTGTCCTTTTACAGGGGTGAAGGCAGGCAAGGGGTGAGGTGGCTGTTGTTTCCAGTCTGTGGGTAGATGGTTTCCATACTTGTGACAAGTGGAGGAGAAGGAGGTGGCCAGAGAAAAATGAATTTTATGAATCAGTGCTCTTTAATTGCCTTAAGGGGAGAGTCCTCTTCCACTTGAGGCTTGGCTGGGGGTTTACAGAAGGGCAAACTGGACCTGAACTGCTCAGCAGTTCTTTGTGAGGCGTGAGTAAGTGTGTAACGCAGAGCAGGTGATGGTTTCATGGTGCACGTCTGTGAGAGCGTACTGGAGGGGAGCTCCTGCCTCTCAGGAGGGTCCATATACCCCAGGGCTGATCCAAAAATGTTCCCTGAAGGCAGTGACAGTCCTGCTCCCAGTTCTGTCCCAGGCAAACACACGGAGAGTGAAGGCATGTGCTTTGGTACCCGCTTGGTTTCACTGCTCTTTGAGTAGGTTTATACCACGTTATACCCTCAGGATGTGAAACTGTCACTTCTGGACTTGGACGTAAACTGTTCAAGTGAGAAACTTGGGGGGGGGGGATTACACCGCAACTGCGGTGACACAGGGCTTCTCCCCGAGTCATTATCCTTATTTATTTGTTCGGGCTAATGGGATCTCTCCTGGTATGTGTCTCTCTTTCTGGCCAGCTCAGCATTGCTCTTATTTGTAGTCAGGGCTGTTAATCCTCAGCAGTGCCCTAATTCTGCTGAAAGGGAGGGTGCAGCCGTTGAACTCGGGCAGCCGTACAAGCTCCCGGCTTTCTGGGAAGAAAGCATCCTTTTATCACAGGCCAGCTCGCTGGGTGCGAGCGTCTGATGCTTTCGTCTCCGGGAGGTTGCCACAGCGAGCAGCAGCCAGGCTTCAAGGGAATGGATGCCCTTCGCTAAGGAACAGGGCGAGTAATTTCCACGCGATGCCATCCCAGGCGCCTGGGACTCTGACCTGACTCTTCCCAAGGATTTATGCGCTCAGTCGCAGCAGGGCTGTTGAAAAAGCCTCCACGGTGCCTTGAGAGGAGCTGTGGAGCCTGTGCTGGTGAGGGGCAAGCTGCCTGCCTTTGGGAAGCGGGCTCCTTGGTGACTTGGCCCAGGGCCCAATCGCTCGGTTTCTTAGTGGCTTTCTGTTTGGCGAAAGGCTTCGAGTTCCCAGGGAGGAGACGTCTGTCTCGGTCCGTGTTGCGCAGGACAGCTGAGGGATGCAGGGGGAGCTGACCTCTGGTTTTATGCGAGTGTTGACTGCATCTCGGTTACCTAGAGGACTTTTCTTCCAGCCTTAAGCTGCGTTATGGTTGGACTTGATGATCTTAAAGGTCCCTTCCAACCTAGACGATTCTATGATTCTAAGATGTGACGACTGGCCCTTGCGTTGGACAGCAAAGTGTACACCTCCTGCGCCGTCCCTGCTACCAGAGAGCGTCAAAACAAAAGAGCCCCTTTATTTTCCCAATGCAGATGTGCCTTTTGGCTGGGGCTCCTGCAGCTGCGTGCTGGCAGTGAACGATACTTCAAGGAAGGTCAAGTTTGCCCATTCTGAGGTTGGGTGCTGGCCCTGTCACCCTCAGTCAGCCTGTGCTGATGCCTCTCGCCTCCATTGCGATAGGTGCTGCCGAGCCTTTGCCATGCTGGGCTGCGGAGCTTAGAGTTTGCTCCCTTTGAAACAAACCCCGCACCTAGTTTTCCCCATCCGTGTAGTCCCTCATCCAACCCTGGATCTCCTGCAGCTCCCCGGGCAGGAGCACGAGGTCGTTAAACAGCAGCTCTGCCTGTGCCAGATCTTCACTTTGCCTGCCCAGAGCCAGAGACCAGCTCTGTGCCGCAGTCCTGGGGTGCTGTTCTTGCCCGGTCCCTGTGACCAGCAAAAAGCTACTCACTGTGCTTAGACAACAGTTAATTTTTGGCTGATAAGATGTGTTATAAGCCATCCAGGACTTCATATTTTCATCACGCTGCTTGTCCTCTGCCAGAGCTTCCCATCGCTCCTGCCGTCCAAGCATCTCCGTAAATACCACAGCACTGGCTTCCCATCGGCTCACCTGTGCCGGAGCTGTGTTTCAGAGACGCCCTGAGTAAACCCAAGCATCTGTACTCCTCAGACGGCCGTAATTCCCCATTTGAAGTCAGGACATTGTCAGCAGCGGTAATAAAGAGCGCTCGAGCTCAGACAAGTTCTCCCTGGCACCTTGTCTAGGCAAATATTATCAAGCTATTGAGCCATCCAGCGACTGCTGGATGAGGGCGACTGGGGAATTTGCCAAAGGAAGTGTCGAGGATGAAATGTCTTTCTAGTCCAGAACAAAAGATTTAGCAAATTTTGAGGATTTAGGAGTCTCTTTTGCTGGCTTCACCCTATTAAACCTTTAAAAAGAAACCATTGTAGCTGCCCCAGTGGCAAGAAAAGCTTCAGCATCGGTGTTATTGCTCTGCTGAATTTGGGGCAGCAGAAGTGTTGAGCGTTGGAGGTTGTGAACTCGCTCTTCCCCAAGGAAAGTGGCGAGAGAGGAAGTCGGCAAAGCCGCAGGGGCAGTGAATCGTCCCTGTCCTTGCAGCTGTCCCTCGAGATCCCCCTGCCGTTGCCCTGCCTTGTCCCACGCTCCCACCATGCCATCGGAGGAGCCACAGCCGCTCGCCCCGTGCCCACCCTGCCCGCCTGTGCCTGCCGAGGCCCTCGAGCGACCGTTTCCTCCGCCGTAACCTTGCCGTTTTCCTCTCTCCGGCGTGCAGATCCCTTTGAAGCTGTAGGCTCCGTGACCCTGGCTCCCGCGGGTGCCTCCTCTCCTCCGTGCGCTGCCTGCTGCTGCTCTCTCCTCCCTGCTCGCTGATGGCTTTTCTCAGCCTCCCGAGGTCCCGCTGCCAGCCAGCGCCAGCAGCTTTTTTTATTCCCCGAAGTGACCTTTTAATTACATAACGACTTACAAACACTCAGCACTGACAACGTACCAAAATAATTGAAACAATGTTTTTCCGGCCTTGAAAAAACATGATTCTGTACCAAAACTCTGTCCTTTGAGATTCCCAAAGTTAGAAAAACAAGTGGCAGGGAGGCAGCATGACCTGGGAACCGGGAGGCCGTTGGCTTGCTGGGCATGCCTGCCTCTGTGTTGAAGAGGGGGGCTCTGCAGGGCAGCGATGGTGTCTCAGCCCAGGGGGGAGCTCTGGCTTCAGGTCAAGGCTGTGCTGGGCTGCAGGCAAATGAATGAGGGCTGCAGCTGGTTGCCCACCATAATTGGCATTTCCCTTTGGTGACGGGCAAAAGAAAGTGCAGGGAGAGGGTGATGAGATGGTGAGATTTCTCTAGCCCCTTTGCAACTCCCCCACTGAAGGCGTGTGGGTGAGGTGTGACCTTTTGGGCGATGCAGGGAGGCACTGGGAGAGTCCCTCGGGCATGGGGGCCTTGGGCTTGGTGCGTCGAGGAGCTGTGGTCTTGGCTCTTGCTGCTGGTCTTACTTCTCTGTCTCTCTGCTCCCTCCTTGCAGATCAAGAGACAGCATGGCTGCGACTGCTGCCGTCAGCCCCAGTGAATACCTGCAGCCAGCTGCCTCCACTGCCCAGGTGAGTACAGGGGAATCAGCAGGCTTCCAGCTCCCCGCTGGGGTGGAGGGACGTGTCCTGGGTGTAGGACAGCAAACGCTGCGTCGTTCAGCCCCTCCTGCCTCTGCCGTAGCCAGCATTGCCGCGTCAGGAGGAGGGCTAGTTGCAGGACAGGCTTGGGAGCCGCACTCTGGACTTGTTCCCAGCCCCGACGCCAACTCTTCCGGAGTGTTGTTTCTCCTCCCTGCTCTGTGTTTTCCTTAAGGATCTCTTGGCTTGCATTAGCAGCTGATATAGTAAGGTGGTCTTGGAATTAAAACTGCGTGAAATACTCCAGGGTGTGTGTACTGGGTGTAAATACCAGCGGACTTGCAGGGTATTTACAGAGGTTGTAAGAACATAGGCACACGATTAAAAGGCAGTTGCCATCCTGATGGGTAAAAGCAGTGTGACTGGCATGAGCTAAAGGCACACGTGGTATGGGTAATTAAGCAGTTCCCTTAATAAGGGTTGTCTCATTGGCACGGACTGGACTGCTTTCAATAGTCTGTACCCTTTCCTTCGCTGAATTGATCTCCAGATGTTTGGCACAAGCCCCTGTCTCTAACCTACCCCTCTCGCTCTTGGCTCCCCAGGACTCCCAGCCGTCTCCTCTTGCCCTCCTCGCAGCGACATGTAGCAAGATCGGTCCCCCTGCAGTGGAAGCCGCCGTGACTCCTCCTGCCCCTCCTCAGCCAACGCCTCGCAAACTTGTCCCCATCAAACCTGCTCCGCTCCCTCTGGGCTCCGGTAAGAACAGCTTTGGGATCCTGTCGTCGAAAGGGAACCTCTTCCAGATCCAGGGCTCTCAGGTCGGCACCTCCTACCCTGGGGGACAGCTGGTTTTTGCCATTCAGAACCCGACTGTCATCAACAAGGGCACCCGCTCGTCCACCAACATCCAGTACCAGGCGGTGCCCCAGATCCAGGCTGCAGGGGGACAGACCATCCAGGTCCAGCCCAACCTCACCAACCAGATCCAGATTATTCCAGGCACGAATCAAGCGATCCTCACCCCTTCCTCTTCCTCTCACAAACCCGTGCCCATCAAACCAGCTCCGGCGCAGAAAGGTGGAGCATCACCAGCGCAGGGCACGAGCAACGTGGTCAAGTTAGCCGGCGGGAGCAACGTGACTCTTACCTTGCCCGTGAACAACCTGGTGAACGCCGCTGAGTCGGGCACACAGGCTCAGGTCCTTGCAGAGAGCCCCTCGAAGCCCAGCAAAAAGACTCGAAAGAAAGCCATGTCACCTGCCCAGCCTGCCGCCATGGCCGTGGCCGAGCAGGTGGAGACGGTGTTAATAGAGACCACGGCGGAGAACATCATCCAGGCGGGCAACAACCTGCTCATCGTGCAGAGCCCGGGCTCCGGCCAGCCGGCCGTAGTGCAACAGGTACAGGTGGTGCAGCCCAAGCAGGAGTCGCAGGTAGTGCAGATCCCGCAGCAGGCCCTGCGCGTGGTCCAGGCTGCCTCCGCCACGCTTCCCACCGTCCCCCAAAAATCTTCCCAGAACTTCCAGATCCAGACGACGGAACCCACTCCTACCCAGGTACCACCTCCTGCATCCTCCTGCAAGGTCCTCTTTGCCCTGTTTCTCCTGAGCCCCCACCCAGGCTTTAAAAAGCTGAAGGGTTCTGTAAGCCGCCAGACATCCCTAACTGGGCATCCACTTTAGACGTCACTTGTGGAGATTCTCTGATGTCTAAGAAGGGTTGGGAGCGCAGGTGTTCCCTCTGCAGGGCTTTATTAAGTCTCTTGGTGGCTACCTGCTTTTACAGGACTTGTAGGAGCACAGTGTCCTTGAAACCTCTGCTGTGCCACCAGCTGGGGTTGGGATGAGCCAGCCTGCTCAGAAGCTCTTGGGAGATGGAGGGAGGTGGGGGGAGCAGGGCTCACAGCCTGCAGGACTGTCTTTAGTGTTGCCTTTGGAAATCAGGCCGCAGGGCCAAAGCAGCCCTTTGCTACTGTGCAAAGCCAGGACCTTCTTCAGGAAGCCCACAAAGGGTCTTCGGATGCTCGGGCAACTTCTCCTGCTCTTTGGCTCATCACAGGCCCAGGGTTGTGTGGGGAGGGTGATGATCACGGTGGAGAGGGGTCTGCCCCGTGACAGTGGCTGGTCTCATTCCTCTTTTCTCCTCCCATCAGGTCTACTTCAAAACACCGTCAGGTGAGCTGCAAACAGTGCTGCTCCAGGAAGCCCCAGCCATGACAGTGGCTCCGTCTGGGACCTCTTGCAGCAGCCCGGTGACCCGCAGCTCTGGCACGGGGGGCAGCAGCAGCAGCAGCAAGAAACCAGACACGCGCAAGGAACGCACTCTGCCAAAGATCGCCCCCGCCGGAGGCATCATCAGCTTGAACGCGGCTCAGCTGGCGGCCGCGGCACAGGCCATGCAGACCATCAACATCAACGGCGTGCAAGTCCAGGGCGTGCCTGTCACCATCACCAACACCGGAGGTGGGCTGCGTGCTGCGCTGCGACGGGGCGGGAGGGACAGCAGGACGTAGGCAGCTTCTTGATCCGGAGGACAGAAAGTCCCCCTCTGCTAGCAGCGGGCTTCGTAAACAGATCCCTTGTACCCTGAAGCTGAATGTTGCTGACTGTTAAATGTCATCAGCTTCTCTAGCTCCCGTCGCTCCAGGAGGCCCCGAGTGTTTCATAGGGTGTCTCTATGGTGGTTCTGCTGGGTGTTTCCAAGCCCGTCCTGATAAAGCTGTGTCATGGAGGGTGGTTAGCGGAGACAGCCGCCTGCAGGGTCAGGCTGTGCGGTCGTGCCGAGCTGCAGGACATGTCTGTTTGCTCATGAGTTCTGTGCAGGAGGAAGGCTGAGCTGTGCCCAAACCCTTGGGGTGAGATGCGTGTTTTTGGGAGAGCTGGGACCCAGCCGGGCAGAGAGACACGGTGCACTGGGGCTTTCCCTCCTGCTGTGCCTCTGGGCCAGCAGCCCCTACCACAGATAGCACTGCCAGCTCCCGGTCCCGCGGCTGGGACATCTCCCCTCGCATCTGCTGGGGGCAAAGGCTGCTGATTTGGGTTTCCAGTAGCTCAACCAAGAGCGTGTGTGCGTTCACACACAGAGGTTCTGCGCTCCTCCAAGCTCTAGTGAGGGATCACTATTCCCCGAGAGTGAACCCAGCCCCTCACCTCCATGGGACAAGTGTATTCCTTAAGCCAAAAAATAGCCAGACATGGCTGTGACCAGTGGCTGGAGTGGTCTGTGAGCCACAGGCAGCCCTGGTGCATGTCTGACCCCGCATTGCCTGCTTGTCTCCCTCCTTCCAGGAGAGACACGTGTCAGCAGCCGCTCTGTCCTCCCCTTCTGCCCGGCAAACCTTCCCCAGCCCGGTCCTGGTGGTGTGGGCTGCCACCAGGGAGCTGAAGGGAGGAAGCTGTGTCTGAGGGAAGTTTATCTGCTTTCTGATCCAGAAAGACCTGCTGCCATGCAGTGGTTTCTCTCTCAGCAAGAACCAGCAGGAGTCCCGGCTCAGTTTTGCAGTCGGAAGCTGTTCTTTCTTGCTTGACTAAACGATGTCAGCATAAAACATGGGCCAGCGTGGTTTTGTGCTCCGCAGCGGGCTGCCGTCCTCGCTGGGGTTGCTTTTAAGGGGGTTTTTAATTGCTGCTTTGCGTGTAAATGTGGGGCCGGCCGTGAGCATCGGGGAGATGCCATGGGCAGATGTTGCTGCTGTCTGCGCTGCCGCCTGCAAGGCTGGCGGGGGCCTGGCTGCAGCCCCGACTGCGAAGGGGACCGGTAGGACCTGCTGGCTGCTGCCTGTGAATGAAACAAATCGAGTGGGGTCTCAGCCTGGCTTCAGCCAGGATATGCCCACCTCCCCAGCGGCCGCCTGTCTCTCAGTGCTGCCAAAGGGCTGCCCCGACCCTCGGCTTCGCGCTTTCCCTCCCAGTGGATGTGGCAACACCTTTGCTCTGCCTTCGCCCCCGATCCCATCCTCCCTCTCTGCGGTCACCCCTTCTTCGCTCCGCCGTCAGATCCCACTCCTCCTCCTTCCTCCTTCCCCGCTGCCCCGAGAGCAGCGATCCCGCTTGCTGATGCTGACCCCATCTTCTTCTTCCCAGCCCCCGTCACGGCTGCCGGGTGCTCTGCAAGGCCCAGGCTGCCGCCTCCGTGAGCGCCCGAGCGTGGAGCAGCCCTTAGGGTCTGGGGTAAGTCCCATTTTTTTGGTCAATATATTGCACGTTTTTTCAAAGTTTCTTTTTTGTTTCCTCTTTGGTCATTTCCCCACCCCGAAGGGTCAAACCGAAAACTTTGAAAAACCGCACAGTATATTCAGAAAAAAGGGACTTACCGGCCCCTCTTGGGGACCAGCACGTGGCGGGGCAGGGGGGGCCGTGGCAGTGCTGCATGCGGGGCTGGGGGTGTCGAGGCCCGGAGTATCCCATCCCGCACGCAGAGGAGGTCTTTCCTCCAGCCAGCCGCCTCCGGAGGGTCTCAGCAGGACCCGCGCGAGGAGCATGGACGGACGCGTTGGGCACCGGCGCGTGGGCGCAGCGTGGCCCCCCGGCAGCGGAGGGACAGAGCCTGACTCCCCCTTTTCCTCCCCAGGCCAGCAGCAGCTGACTGTGCAGAACGTCTCCGGCAACAACCTGACCATCAGTGGCCTGAGCCCGACCCAAATCCAGCTCCAGATGGAGCAAGCGCTTTCCGGAGAGATTCAGCCAGGGGAGAAGAGGCGACGGATGGCGTGTACCTGCCCCAACTGCAAGGACGGGGAGAAGAGGTGAGCACGGAGGGGGAGAGGGGCAGCGCTGTGGGTCTGGCACCCATCTTGGAGGTTAACTGTGGCTTTCCTCACCAGGCCGGGGGACCCAGGGAAGAAGAAACACATCTGCCACATCCCGGAATGCGGCAGGACCTTCCGCAAGACCTCACTGCTGCGTGCTCACGTGCGCTTGCACACGGGCGAGCGCCCTTTCGTCTGCAACTGGCTTTTCTGCGGGAAGCGCTTCACACGCAGCGACGAGCTGCAGCGGCACGCTCGCACGCACACAGGTCTGCGGCCCCGCGGGGCACGGCTCGGCGCCGCCACGTGGTCCTCTCCCTCCCAGGGCAGCCCCCGAATCGCAGCCCAGCCCGTGCGGGGTCCTGAGCCTTGCGAGAGCCAACGGGATGTGCTCAGCCGAGGGCTGGGATGATCTTGGGCCACCGCAAGTTGTCCTTGTGATTTGACTGAGTTACTGGGAGAGACTGGAGAATTTGGGGGGGGGCGGTCTCTGCTGCTTTAGGACACTCCAGATGGTGGTGGTGACAGAGTTGTCATGGGAAGGGGCTGGGGTGGAGCGGTTGCAAAGGGGACCTGGTGTCCCTGCCACCCTGGGTGGTTTAGGGACAAAAGCAGGTCGGTGACGGTGCTGCCGGGGCCGTGGCAGACTGGCTGCCACCCCTTGACCGCCGCTGCTGTTCCCCCGCAGGTGACAAGCGATTCGAGTGCGCGCAGTGCCAGAAACGCTTCATGCGGAGCGACCACCTGACGAAGCACTATAAAACCCACCTGGTCACCAAGAACTTGTAGGGACCGCGACTCCCCGGCTGTGCGGACAGACCCTGCGAGGGCACCAGCCTGCCACGCCGCAGCACTCCAGCGTCCGCGGTCACCCGCGGAGAGGAGCCCTCGGGAACGTCCTCCTGCCCTTCCTGTGATGCCACCTGCGTCCCCACGCAGAAGCCGCCCTTTCTGAAGGGTGCGAGGGGCCGATCCTCCCTGCGGATCCCCAGGGCCATGGGGTGGCCCGGTGGTGGCCCAGAGCCCGACAAAAACGTCTCACGGCCACGCAGGAGCTGGGCACGGAGGGGACTGCACGCTCTGGTGCAGGCGAGCTGGGAGAGGCTCCACAGCACATTCCTACTTTATATTTAAAGTCTATAAATAGCTATAAATATCTATATAACCCCCTTTGGAAGGTCCCTCTTTTTCTATGGAGATCGTTGCCTTACGCTCCCCGCTCCCAATTACAAACACTGTGTATTGTGAGTGCTTTTTTTAATCTTTATTTAATTTTCCTTTAAGACGCTGCCCATCTTCTTGCCCCCCTTTTCTCCTAACGTTTCTTTTCCAATACTGAAGAGTTTTGGTTGTTGTGTTGTTTGTTTTTTTTTTCTCTCCGATGTTTTCTTTCTCCCCGCTTTTCTGTTTCCAAGTGACGTGGCGTTTCCTTTTGAATTTTGGGACTTCAGCCCTTTTTCCTCCCCCGTGTGCTGCCCGCCATCCCCACTGTGTATAGTGTACATTGTATCATAGATTATATTGCTTTTGTGTTTACTACATGTTTAAAAAAACAAAACAAAACATATGGCTTGTTATTTTTGAGCTTTTAAATTAAACAAATCCACTTTATTTTTTAGTTGTAACTGCCTGAGGTTGTTTTCTGGATTACGTGACAGATCTGTTATACTTTATTAACTGTAACTGGTTGGCCGGTGTGGAGTCAGCCAGGAGCTTTCCTTGCTAAATAAATTTAGTCACCAGAGGCAAAACCAGTGCAGCGTGTACCACCGAGGGTCCTTTCTCTCCCGGGCCGGCACGGTGCGAGCCGTGGTGCTGGGCTGGTCACCACCGCGACCGGGGCTGTGCCGGCTGCAGCGGGACGCGCAGTAAGAGCCGACCAACGGCAGCAAAGAGCTGAAGGCGAAACGCTCGGCGAGGCTGCAGGGAAGGATGAGCTGCCGACTTTCTCGGGCAGAGAGGAAGTGGGGTTTATTTACAGGAATCCCAAATATCGCTGGAAACGAACTTATTTACAGGAAAACAGCCCTGGGCCGTGGCTGGACGCGTGGAGCCGCTGCTGCGTGCGGGAGCAGCTCTGCGGCCGCTGGCACTGCCCCCTGTGCCAGGGGACCCCGGCATCACGATGCCGACCCCCTCACCGGCATCTCCCTGCTCCAACCGGCCCTTGTCCCTGCCGGCACCCGCTCCCCACTGCGGGAGGGAGCAGGACACGTGGCCGTGGGCTCTCCCACCATGGGGACGTGGGGCTGAGCCCACCGGCTCCAGCCGCAGCCCCTCTGTAAGCACGAGGGTGCGATCCCACCGTCCCCGACACGTCCCTCCCTGTCCCCTCTCCCCGTCTGTGGCACCGGAGGGCTCCGGGCTCGTCCCCCCGCCGTGTGACTGAAGGGCTGTGGCCATCTCATGGGTCTCAGCTCACTACATCTTCACGACCATCTTCTTGACGGCCCGCCGGGACGTGCCGCACTTGCTGTTGATGACGGCGTTGAAGTTGCAGCCGCGGCCGCACATCTTGGTGACGTACTCTGCGGGTCAGAGGGGGACCCGACCCTGTTCACAGGTGGCACCGTGGCCTTTCCTGACCCACCACCGTGGCCGATGCGGCACCTAGAGGGGACAGAGGACCCCATCCCACCCAGCTGTCCCCTACCTTTGATGGCGTTGACCACGACCACGGGCAGGCGGAGGGGCGGCTCCATGGTGGTGTTGTTGTGGGCGATGCGCTGCCCCGTGGCCGAGGAGCGGGCCAGCGTCTCCCGCGAGAAGAAGTAATCGAGCAACCGCCGGGTCATGAGCTTGGGCTTGTCGGTGGAGACCTGCGAGAGGTCGTCCAGCTGCGGGTGGGTGATGTAGACCCCCGAGTTGGGGACCAGCTCCAGTTTGGGCCTCCCGTTCTCCTGCGGCGATGGGGAGAGCTCTCGCCTGGGTCCTGGATGGAGCCTGGGGACACCCCTGCTCCATCCCCGGGCTCCCCTGGGGTACCCCGACCCCCTCCATCCCTTGGGGACCCTCTGGGCCACCTCTCCTGTGCCCTGGGGGACCCCCTTTCTCCCTTCTGCTCTAACCACAGCAGTGTGTCCAGTGGCACCCCAGGAGCCTTGGTGGGACCCCAGGTCCCTGGCGGCTTCCCAGGAGCCTTGGTAGGACACCAGCTCTCCGGTGGGACCCCAGGTCCTTGGTAGCACCCCAGAAGCTTTGGTGGGACCCCAGGTCTCTAGCGGGAACCCAGTAGCCTTAGTGGAACCCCAAGTCCCCAGTGACTTCCCAGAAGCCTTGGTAGGACCCCAGTAGCCTTAGTGGAACCCCAAGTCCCCAGTGGCTTCCCAGGAGCCCTGGTAGG